ATCTAGACAAAAATTTCATCACAGCTTGAAAGAGCATCACAAAATTAGTAATAATCCAAAGTTTCGATGCGAAATGTTGTAAAATGCGGAAAATATAGCCTTGCGAAGTTTGCAATTTTCAGTCATTTTAGATTACAAACGGGAAATTGACAGCCCCAAACCCCGCAACGAAACTTTGGAATATTACTAATTTTGTGATGCTCTTTCAAGCTCTGATAAAATTTTTGTTGAGATCAAAATTTAGTCTATTACGCAAATGGTCAATTCGAAAGCTCATGAATTTAGCAACCTATTTCTAATCTACGCATGCTCACAAGTAGTTTCGGTACGATACGGTTGAGTGGAAAGCCGGCTTAAGCCCCCGTACCACTTTTTTTGGTTCCTGGACTACCTATTTAGGTAGTCCAAGAACCAAAAATTGGTACGGTACCAAAAATTGAGCGTAGTGTAAACGGGGCTTAGCTAAAAAGGTAGTCCAAGAACCAAAAAAGCGGTACGGGTACCAATTCTATCCGTGCCGTACCAAAAATTGAGCGTAGTGTAAACGTGGCTTTAATGTTCAATTCTCATTCTAAACTTATCTCACGTGGCGGATATGACATTAGAATAAGATAACACTGCATAGCTGAGGTAAAAAGGCACGTTACTACGTATCTGTTGTGGAACAATCTAAAAATGTGTACAAAATTCGAAAAGCAGTCGCTTGTCTTTACTTTTTCAGACAGAGTTATCTGCGAAGGATATTCTTGCCCAGCTGCCGAGTAAAGATACAACGCTAAGCATCATGGTGGTCACAAAAATACTCAGTGATCGCGGAACGAACCCTCTTGGTAATTTTGAAGTTCAGTATATGTATGATCCTATTGGAATCGAGGCGATAGAACGGTACGTTTCACCTTGCGCTTGAAATACTAAATCGTCTTTGAAGATCTTCACAAATCCTCTATGGCAGGATGTTCTCTTAATCTGCCTTGGTCTTGGTCCGAACACCATTCGGTTACTCGAGACTTCTAGAAAATCTAGTGTGCTATTCTGTAGAATTTTCTTAAAACTGTACAGATGTCCAAGCAGGGGTGGAAAAAATATTTCACTTTCTGGGACCACAAGAGAACATTGAAACATTTTCTGCGAATAATCAAGTAAATCGACACTCGCACACTGTAACTGTGTGACACTAACAAGTTGTCCAACTTAATGTCATGCTATATTTTAAGGTACATATATAACATAAAACTAACATCAGGGGACTGATCCTAAGGTAAATTTACAGATGCCAAAAAATGGGCACTACTAGGGGGGTCTGGAAGCATGGTGCCCCAGAAAATTTTGAAAATCAGGTGTCTCAGATTGGCTAAAAATATATTTGCCATATATCACATTTGTTACATCATTCTATAGTCTCTACATTTATCCACTATTGCACTAGTAAGATAGATGTGCTTCTAATAGCATTACTGAGGTCATACATACAGTGCAGATTGTAACACTGCTCGTAGTCTTGCTGCTCCACTCTCTTGCTGCTATTAGTGTCTCATAGTTATTGAAATATAAACATGATTAGGAAGGTTGTAAGTCTTTATTTTATGTTCTGTCTAAATTTGGATAAATTTGTGTCAATTTGTGCACGTCCAGGTTCTTTACCGCTTTGATCTATTTCTCGAAGTTGTCAGGTCTTTCTAGCCTTGTTTATTATGTTTCAATAGCTATTTTATATTCTATGAATTGTCATGTTTTATAAAATTTGCAAGCAGCTAATTAAGTATGTTTGTGAAATACAATACAACGAAAACTTCGAGGAATTTGTTTGCTTGGCTTCAAGTTTCAATTCGTGTGATGATTTTAACAGGTTAATCGAAGTTTTTGTTGTGTTTTATTTGTGTTTTATTATCTATTTAAAATTAAAGGGCCCACAGTAATTGGTACCATACTGTTGTGGTGACCCTGCCATGAATGCATGACAATGGCGAAGTAAATAAATAAATAAATAAATAAATAAATAAATTCTTTCTATTGGGCTCTGGGCAGAATTTGTCCTCTGAATTTCTCCCTTTGTCTAAGTTTCTACAATTATCTTTTTTTCTTTCTTGCAAATATTTTCTACAAAATAACATGATTTCTGCAAGTCAAATCTTCTTCAAAACGTAGAAAATCCATTTCAGAGACACTAGATCTTAACATTTGCTGGTGGAGCATGTCCCTGGAGACCGGTAGAGTCAACCTCGTTCTCAGGGTAAGAAAGACCCGGGGACCGAGCTAGGTTGCCCCAGAGTTTTCCTACACACCACCAACCAAATCTGCCGCTTATGACAGTGAACATTTTTCTTTTCATTTTATTATTTTTGTCCATACCTAGACGTCCAGAGATTACGGTACCCCAGGAAAATATTTCCAACGACACTCTTTAAGGCGGTTTTCCAGTCCTCGCACGAAGCTCCTCCCAGCTCGCTGCGAGTGCTTGCATCTAATTAAAATGAACGGTTCAGCATTGTGATTGGATGAAGTACTCAGACATGCATCACTCGCAGCGGGCTGCGAGGAGCTTCGTGCGAGGACTGGAAATCCGCCTTTAGCCAGACACTTTTTAGCCAGATTTAATTTTTATTTGTCGTAACATCATGTTATCACTGCATAATTGTACTGTTTATCACTGCACAATTTGGTATTATTAGTTAAAGGTCCATTTCCACTGAAGAAGATTTCCACGGACAGAAAATTTTCCAAAAATGTCATTGTTAAAAGTTGAAAATTTTCAAATTCGAATTTTTTCCAGACGGAAAATTTGCGTCGGCCAATCAGATTTTACAAAATTTTCTTTCTGTGGAAAATTTTCCTGAGTGGAAATGGGCCTTAATAATAGTAATACTGCACACTAAAATTACGTATATGTTTTTGCCTGGCGGTTTTACTAGTGCTCTTCTGTAATTATAGATTCAAGAAACGACTTGGAGAAGTGGCACAGATTATTGATGAAAGGAACAAAAGTCGTGAATTTCCATACCCATATTTGCACCCACTTGAGGTGCCTAATTCTATAAGCATTTAAACCAGAAAAATGGTTAATCGAACAGCGAATGTAACCGTGAGGAATTGAAAAGTATATAGCTACCGTAGTCAAACCACGGGTTGAAATTTTAGAAATGTTTTAGTCATCTACAGTAAATGGTAGTTAATCATATATGTTATATATTATATATGTTATAAGTAACAAAATAATAAATTGTAAAACTCTGTGTTAGGCTCAATCTAATCTCACCCCCTGGATTTTGTGTTATATGAAGTATTCTCTTTGTATATAGATAACATAAAAATCAGTTGTTTTTAAATATGTTTACTTAGCAAATGCAAATTATATGTGAAAGAAGAATGAAAAACTTGAGATATTACTTGATAAGAGCTAAGATAAGAGAATATTACTTTATCATACTGTTTTCTCAGAACAGTCGCAAAAGTGTAACCAGAGGCCTATTTTCTCGGAATTGCGCTAAATCCATTCTTCTTGGAGTCATATATAGAAACCACTGAGCTATACTTATATATCTGGAGATCGTGCTCTCGACGAAAGTGTGTGGCCAAAAACATGGCGGATTTGACGTCACAATCGACCTATTTTCATGGGGTTTTCCACTGACCCGTGGCTCGAATGTTCGTGGGCGACAAAGTTCAACCCCCCCTGGATTTTACAGTGATTTTGTATGTTTATATTAGTTGATCGACAGAGAGTATATTTTTGATTTTCGTCCTTTTGAAAATACAGTATTATTCTAACTGCGCGTATAAATCAATAAAGACTGAAAGCCATTAATAAAAAAAGACATGAATGGAGCTTGACGGCCACAAGAACAAAGCATGTAAGTCATTGAAATGATTTATCAATTCTTGTTGTATTGTGAATTTGTGTTGCAACCATTGGTTGCAACTGAACTGACTATCAAGATTATTCTTTAAAACACGAGTATTATAACAATCCCCAGCAAGTAAAATTAAGCAAATATAGCTTGTTGAAAACCGTACTGCTATAAATTTCCCTGAGTTACAAAGGTTTTTTTAGAGATTTTAATACCAGTTTATTCTATTAGTAAATTGTGGGGAAAAGCAACTCTTTGGAATATAAAGCACTTATATCACCATTAAAGTTTTTTACACCTGTATGTGTTCCGCTTTCAGGTATGAATTTATCAAGAAAATATGGGATATCTGTACTAAGTACCAGATGGCAGTGAAGAAAGTCAAGTGTATTTCTTTATAATGGTCTTCCTTGTAAAAGGCAATGGCACTATTTCATTGAACATTCAAGGAACAATCACCTTTTAAAACAAATATGCACATTTTTATGCTCGAGTTACAATGTTTAATTTTGATATCTGCATTTTATGCGATTCATACCTTATTTTTAAGTGTTCCTCAAATATTGATTCAATACATTACCTCGGGCTGACCAATTCATTCCATCAAGATATTTGCTGTGTTGGTGTAATACATGTACTCAGGTGAATAAGATGCTTGTGTGATGTTATGTACTCTGAGTGGATATCCACACTGGGCAGGCTTGAAAAATATGCCTGGCCACAGTGGGATTTGAACCCACAACCTTTGGAATACTGGCCCAATGCTCTGCCAACTGAGCTATACAGTCGGGGCAGTTCGAGTATGCGATATTTCGGAACTGAGTCTAGTTCCTTCGATATCAGTGTAATCTAATAACCATGATATTTGTGAATATGATGCTTGTGTGATGTTACTCTGAGTGCATATCCACACCGGGCAAGCTTGAAAAATATGCCAAGCCACATTGGGATTCAAACCGACCTGACTGCGTAGCTCAGTTGACAGAGCATTGCCATTTGGGCTAGTATTCCAAAGGTCGTAGGTTCAAATCCCACTGTGGCCAGGCATATTTTTCAAGCCTGCCCGGTGTGGATATACACTCAGAGTAACATCACACAAGCATCTCATTTCATCAAGTTCCTCCAGATATTCATACACTTCCTGTGAAAGAGCCAATTCCAAGAATTTAATCATTTCTGGTAACTTCCTTTCTATTTATGATTGGTTAGTTGCACAAAACAACAAAGGTGATTGGTGCATTCAAACCATTCAACAGGAAGTGTATGAATATCTTGAGTATCTTGAGGAACTTAATCAAATGAATTGGTTAGCCCGAGGTAATGTATTGAATCAATATCTGAGGAACACTTCAATTGGAATGACAGTGAAGAATTATTAAAAAAAATATTTTATTCAAAAAAAGATTTTCCAAGATAATTATATAATTACATTTAGTAATAAGAATAAATAATATATTCAATTTCAAATCACAACAAAATTTATTCTTTATTTTTAAACACATACAACACCAATTTAATTAAATAAACTGCTCAACCAATTCTATGCATGTCAATCCCTACTTGATGGTCAGTACCTATACAGTAATTATGCTAGCCTAATTTGTACACTAACACAAATGGTCAAAATAAATGTAAATGTAGCAATTTTGGCTTAGCTAAACAGACCAAAATGTGTACAAATAACTTAAAGTTGTTAGCAGAAAAATTAAGGAATAAATTTAACCCATTGAGTGGCGAAGCACCCTATTTTAGTATTTTACTCTGTCTAACGCAAGACAGTTTTACTCGTCAAGGGCAGAGCGATGGCGCTTAATGGGTTAATTACCCCTCATGTACAGTATGACCATTAATTGTACTGATAATAAACTGTAAAGATCACAGCCAAGCTGACCAAAGCAATCATTAAAGATTGTTGGTACAGCATATGGCTTTAACACTGGTCTCTGGCTGTAATCCTCCTCAAAGATATCAGCACTAAAATGCTTTGAACACAAACAACTATTTTTCATAGGAACAAACTTCACTGGCATAAGTTTGCTTATATTCTTCACCCATATGCTGTGCAATTCAGGGAATCTCTTCTGATCTGGAAAGCTTTGAAGTAAATGAACAATTGTTTTTAGTGTCTAGTTAATACACTGTTCAATACGATACCTATAACTTACAATATAAACAATGCCACACTAGACAACACATGGTTTAGTCCACAATAAAGACAATACAATGAGTGAAAGGCTTTGTACATTTAAAGCTAGTCGTATCTTTATCACATTGTTAAAATTCTCATTTGCAATTTTTTAACATAGCATTATCTGTTAGGATATTGATAGGATTTCATGATTTTCATCACTGCATCACATCCATCAACTTGCATGAAAATAAATACTTGCTCGACAACAGCTCCACAAGCTTGTCAACATTTTAAAATTTTGTTCTGCTTTTGCACTGTAGTACACTAACATAAATTGTATTGTATGTTGCTTGCCAATAAATTTCATGAATTCACAAATTTACGCATTCAAATACAGCAATACAGCATGCGTTAAATTATTACAAAAAAAAGAGATTATACGAGCCTTACGCATGTGAGGACAGGTCCTTTCTTTCAGTAGATTTTTGGCAACCAGGAATTGAACAAAAAGTTGGCATGGTTGCAAATGTCTCGTTTCAATATAGAAATTTCCGACCGAAATTTTGAATTTTATACTATTTTACGTTCTGTTTTAAGCAAATTGAAAGGGGGGTGTGAATAACTTTTTTCTTCACGTTTGTATTTTAGGTCAGTGGTGTTCACCATAAATTTAG